GTGCCACAAGTTTGTTTATTTATTAAAAAAAAAGTGCTATGGTTTGGTTGTATGTAGTCTCAAAACGATAATTCTCCAGCAACAGGTAATATTCTGCTCTGGAAGAAAATGTCACACTGCAGGGATTATGTGGACACTGGATTGCCACACTTGATACAGCGATAGCTGCCTTGTGTTTCCATGTTGTAAAGACACAAAGTGGTGAAACCTCACCTTGGGACCTACGAGTGGCCTCCCATCTTGTATTTTCCAGGTTTATTACACTGCAGTTGTGGGGTTTTTTAACTGTTTGTCTCCTGGTTGCCTCTGTACCAACTCTGCCACCAGTCCTGCTGGAAGGAGCCCTGCTCTAGAGCCAGGTGCCATCAGAAATGTTCCCTCTCCATCACCTGGAGTTGCTCTAGGCAATACAGAGGGTGACATGCTGATAGTCACCCAATGCCTTAGGCATACCAGTGCTCTCAGGCATGGGGCAGAAACACAGACATCCTAGCAGCATATTGCAGAGGCAGAAACCAGAACAGATTACACGAGTCAGCTCTTTGCACTCTACAACAAGAATACAGCCAACAGCAGGCAGTGGAACCAGCAATGCAAACAGCAAAGCAGAGAACATAATTCCTGCCCAAAATGACTTGTGAACCTGGCAATCCTCCTAACTGCACGTGCATGCTCTTCAGAGTGGGGTGGAATTACATGGATGTGCTGCAAGAGCATCAATCCTGTGGGCTTTCTTCACATGGTGTGAATTTCATCCACAGACACTGGTCAGGAGACCATAGGCTGTCACACACACTCATTATGTAAGAGAGGAAAAGGGCTTTAGTATGTCTAATGGTCTGAGGTCTATCCTTTTATGTGCATTTTGGGGTACATGCAGTGGTCTTTGGATGATCTGGCTGTCTGTTTCTGTGTGGGGCTCAGGAGTATCCAGATACACCTCAAAGCTTTGTGCATGCTCAACAGGAGCTGCTGCCTTTTCAATCCCTTCCTAATGACCTTCGTTTCCAGCTGCTGGGGTTGTCCATTGCCACGCTGAGCACAGTCACCCACTACGGGCTCCATTTCACCCTCATGAGTGACATTTCCCTGGACAACAACTCCTACAGGGTGATCCACCATGCAGGTATGTTGCATTTGCATCCCCTCGAGACCTTTGGTGAACCAGGATCTGCAAAATCCCCAAGAGTAGTTGAAGGAAATGCAGAAGCATAGCAGAAGGAGGCAGGGCCTGGCTTTTGAAAGATGCACTAGGGCTAATACAGTCCCACAGAGACTTTTGTGTATCAGACCTGCATGCCTGGCACTAGAGGTGCTGTGGGAGCACAGGATGCTCAGGTGCTGCTGCATTCGCTCCTATCCCTCTGTTCACCATCTGCCCATCCTTCCCCTGTGCTTCAGTAAAAGCTCAAGGGAACCTCAGCCATAGGCAGACCCATGGGTGTAGCAGGGCTGGAAGAGCTCTGGGAATGTGGGGAGAGGTGCTGTAACAGGAGTTGAAGCAAAGCATAGATACTTGGGGAGGAGAAATGTGTGGAAACACCTGTTTTTGGAGGTAATATGAGAGCTTTTCACTACACAAGGGAGAAATACAAACTTGAGTCTTGGGTACAAGGCTAGAGCAAAGAGATGAGGACAGCACAGATACTAAAATACTTTGCTCACCTCTGCTTACTAGAATTTGCTGCTTCTCCTGAGCTGTACTGTGAGCTTAAACATGCTTGTACCCTCTCTAGATCCTAGTTCTCAAATTTGGTTTAACAAGGCAGGTGTAAAAAAACGATGTTAGTCCTAAGCTAAGGTACAGCCCTCCCCCTTTCCTACACACACCAGTGGTTACATAGATTGGCACTTAATGCAGCCTTGCAGTCCCCAACTTCCCAGCCACCCCTCACCAGCAATGTTTCCACGTGCTTTGCTTGCAAGTGTGAGCATTTGAACAGTTAGCTCTGAGTGAGGGTTGCAAAGCCCTTTGCAGTGCTGTGGTCCCCGAGCCCTGCCTGGCTGTGACCCTGCCTTAGCCAAGAGGAAACCAGAGGGTGAGTGTTACACCAGATTAGCAGCACATGGGGTCCTGATAGTGGCCGTGGGACAGCTGCTGAGCATCAGCACCCCCTGCTCTGAGGGATCCTTATCAGACTGCTGAAATAATTGACAGCTTGTGGTCTGCCTGGTGGACCGACACCCTTTCAGAGGGTGCTTTGCTCTGATGGAGGTGTGGGAACTGCTCAAGGGTTTACAGCCCAGCCAAACAAGCAAATCATACACAGATGGGGGTTACTGAATAAATTATAAGACACTTTCAGTTTTGCAACCTGGTCCTCTTGGACCAGCTCTCTGAAAGGCACTTTCCTGTGTCTGGGTGAAAACATCAGACCAGGCCTCCGTTAGCCATAGTCTTAGTGTCTGACTGCAACTCCCATGTCTCACTTCTTCCAGTTTTCTACTCTGGGATCTGCCTCAGCATGACCCTGATCCTTGCAGCCCTGCTGAGCTCTGCCGCCACGGTGCGGGAATCGCAGTGTCTCACCGCCATGGTGGGTATGGGGGACTGGCTGGGAGGGGCTTTCTGTAACCATGGGCTGATGCCCTTAAAATATGGTGCTGGGGTCTGTTTTGCCTTGTGCCTGGGAGCATGCACACCTGGAGAGGGACATCCTGTTGCTCCACCCTGTGCTGCAAGGGGACGTTTTTGTAGAAGGGGTGACCTTGCAGAGCGTTTCCAGCTGAGGACTGCATCCTTCTGTGTCTTGCTTCCTTTGCCAAGGTGCTGTGCATGCAGCTTGCAGAGCGGGGTCAAAAGGAGGTGCTTGTCTGCCAAATCAATCACAGTGATGATGATTCCTGTGTTGTTGCTGCTTTTTTTTTTTTTTATTCACCAAGTCAACACGTGGTTTGTGTGAGGAAACTTTAGCAGTTTGATTTTGAGATGCGTGTTGTTCGTCTGAGTTCTGACAGCAAAGTTAGACCCCCCTTCCTTTCCCCTCGCTGCAAACGTCTGTCAGCAGTGGTGGTCTGAGGCATGCAAAGCATGGCAGCAGGCACAGGGGCCTTTGGACCCTCAGTTTCAGCCTTCCATCATCCTCAGTGAAGTCTGGGTTTGGTCCCAGACCATGCCAGTATCAGTAAACAGGATTGTGAGCCCAGCTCCATTTAAAAGCACAGCCTGCACAGGGGGGCTAGTCTGAACAGAGCAGTTTCAGGGCTGTGGGGATGAGTGGAAAAGCACTGCTCCCTGCATGCTGGCCCGTGTGGTGTCAAGGGCAGGAAATAACAGGTAGGTTGCTGTGCATGAAGCTGTGCTTAATATAAAACAATTGCACTGCTGTTATACATGAACCAGCTTTCAAGAGATTTTTATTTATTTATTTATTATACTGATGGTGGAAATGAGAGGCAGACACCTTTAAAACTTAGTGCAAAGCAGTTACTGAAGTTAATGTTTTCACCTTCACAATAAGCCACCCTCCTCTCCCTCTCAGATGCTCAAAGGGGCCTGAGGGACACAGTCCCATGAACCCTGCCAGCAGACTGGGTAATTCCCCTCTTTTGCTGCGTTACACTTTAGTGCGTGCCTGCAATTACTGCATCCAAAACAACAGATGGGTACATACAGGATAGGGGGGATTGTCAGGGCTGCCTGAAAATAGAGATGAACCTCTCTGCAATGTTTATTCAGTTGTCTTACTCCGTGTGCAGAATGGTTTGGGGACAGGCCGCCAAGTAAAAGAGGTTGTTAACATTATGTATGTTTCCTGAAAGAACAATTGAAGAAAAAAAAAAAATATCCAGCAAACTTCAGCGTTGCTGTCCCTGCTCCAAGAGCCACCTGATGCTGCCCTCCCCTCCCCGTGCTGTGGGGCTGAGCACCAGCAGGTCCCTTCCTCCAGCCCCCCCACCCCCTCAGCCCGCAGGGCTGTGTGTAACGCTGCCCCCAGGGAGGCCCCGCCCGGCACAAACCCCGAACTAGCTGTTTCCTCTTCTCTGCGGCTCCTGGGGCATCCTGTCCACTTTGCTTTAGCATTCCCAGTGTGGGTCGTCTGGGGGAGGCGGCCGCACCCGAGTCAGATGCGCTCCCTGCCCGGTGGGAAG